CTCTCTCTCTCTCTCTCTCTCTCTCTCTCTCTCTCTCTCTCTCTCTCACACACACACACACACACACACACACATACACACACTCATACATATATGGTGGAAGGGTAGGGAAGAAGGAAGACATAAAAACTTCATAAGAATCTTATATACTATGATCTTCCTTAATTGAATCAACCCACAAACGCTTCAGATAGAATAAGAAAATGTGACTTTAAACACCTGAGTTTAATAGATACCTTGTTAAGTAGATCCTAAATAACAGAATATACAAATTGTCGTAAATTCAATGCTAGGACAGAGTAGAGGTTACACTACCTCCTGCTTACTGCTAATGCCATGATATCAATCTTAACCTTTGTCATGTTTAATCTGGAGCTGAAGAGCAGAATGGAATTTCACAATTCACACTTAAATTCACCTGGATGGTCATCAACATACTGTCCCAGCATGCTCTGGGTCTCTGTGCATCTGTGCATCCCTGCAGTTACTGCTGTGGGAAAGCTGTGCTGTCAGGTCACCATTAACAATGTCATTTCTTAGATATATCTTTATTTTACGACCATGAATGTTTTGGCTGCCTTTTTGTGCACCACATGCTTGCCCCCAGAGTCCAGAAGAGGGTGTCACATGCCCTGGAACTGTAGTTACAGATGGTCATGAGCTGCCATGCGTTGCTGGGATTGAACCCCGGTCCTCTACAACACCAACAAGTGACCTTAACCTCAGAGCAATTTTTCCAGCCCTATCGATGTCATTTCTGAAACAGTGAGAATTTCTGTTACTTTCATGCAAGTTCCGACTCAGACCTCTTATCCACAAACAAGGGCATCTGTCACTGACTTCCCTCACAGATCAGCAAGTTCACTTGTGATTTTTAGGTATAATCATTGGATCACAGGTTTCAGGCGACTAACCATTGCATTCTGATCTCAGTGGCTTCAGAGATTCATGACACTGCCTGAGTCTGCACGCCCTCCCAGTGTCCAGGGCTGGCCCCTTTGTACCCTGGTGTGCACTGCTAATTTCTCCTCAGCTGTAGAATCTGCTCCACTGCTCTACAAACAGCTGGCAAAGCAGCAGTGCTGCACTCCAGGGTGATGCGCATGTGCACAGCACAGGGTCTCAAGTCCTTGTGTCAGTCAGTTCAGGAACGAGCTGTGTCTGACAAAGCTCATGAAAGAGTGCATGTCACAGGCAGCAAGCTCCTGGCAGAGGAAGAAAGAAAACCTGTGGAGAAGGCGAGTGTCCCAGAAGAGCACTGTGGAGACTGCTGGGGAGACCTGGGAGATCTCAAATGCACAGCAAGGGCTGAGTCAGGAGTGCTGCTGAGGGTGCTGGTGCCTCAAAACTGAGTCCATTGTCCCAGCCCTCAGCTGCCTGCCTCTGGTGCCATTTTCCCGGGACCATGTCCCTGTTCTTCTAGCCTGCCTGCACTTTAGTCTTTCCGCAGCCCAGGCTCCGCTCTCACCATTTCTTCAGCTGGGCCTGCTCCTCTCCATCCACATGCTGGGCTTCCCGTCAGGTCCCTGTTCAGACAGCACAAAGTCCTGAGCAAGGAGCTCTCCAGGGCTTGGTTCTGAGTTCCCAAGGCTGGCCAAGTGCTCAGCACACTGGAAACCTCTGTGAGTGTGTGACCAGCTTTCCTTTAGTGTTTGAGATGTGTCACTGTGTGCAGGTGTAGAAAGGACATTCTGTGGCCCATCATGTGCCCACCTTTGAAATAAGAAATATAAAAGTTCTTGGATGCAATTCCAGAACTTTACCTCTAATAAAAATGAAACGTGTTCTACAAATGTGTTCTTAGAAATAACTTTGCCTGGAGAAAAGTTTACAGGGCTGGGAATGGAACTTGGATGTAATATTTGTTGTGGCATGTTCCCAAGAGCCTGGGGTAGAGCCCACATCGAAAAGAGAAGTTGAATGACTTAAAATCCCCAAATACTCTTCACCAGCAAGACAGTTAATGTGGACACCAACACCCCTGAGTCATCTCACTCTGAGGCTGTCTCTCTTTGCCTCTTAAACATTTGTGCTTCTCAAGAGTGCTAGTCATGTTTACAAAACATGTCTTGGGCCTTGTTGAGAGTTCACCAGTCTTACACAGACTAATAGAACAGATATGAGAACAGAATCTATCATTCTGTGGTATACAAGAAACACACCTCAACTTCAAAGTCAGACTTCAACTCAGTGTAAACAATTGGGAAAAGATTCTCCAATCAAGTGGACCTAAGAAACAAGCTGGTACAGCTATCCTAATATCTAACAAAATAGAATTAAATCTAAAATTCATCAAAAGAGAGGAAGAAAGATATTTCATATCCGACACAGGAAAAATCCATCAAGACAATGTTTAAGGCCCAAATACAAGGGCACACACATTAGTAAAAGACACATTACTGAAATTTCACCAATCTCAGGCTTTCTCAGAGGCCCCAATGACAGGACAAAAGGAACCTAGTTCTGTGCCCTTGCTCAGGAGTGGACCTGGCAAGGCCAGTTTAGGGAAGAGGCCTGGACAGAGGAGCTAAGGTTTTGGTTCCTGGGAACGTGCTGTTCCTCCTGAAGAGACTTGAGTTTCAGTCCCAAGGCCACTGTAATGCTCTTGAGAAACCCTGTGTTCCCTTTCGGTGACATCATTGATTAGCCTCCTGTTGACTTTGTCGCATTTCTCCCTGAACAATAGTATAAAAGATGCTCCATTTTTTTAATCAACTGTGGCAGTTTATACCTACCAAGTAGGAGCGGGAGGATTAGAAATGTTAAGCAGGAGAAACAGAGATAAGAAATAAACACAGAGACACAGGATCGTGTTGGGAAGAAAACCCAGTGCCTGCTGCATACTGAGTTCTGCATTCTGAGTTCACCCATGGATAATTTCCCCTAGACTTTTATACCCCAATACAAAAGGGGGGTAAGAAGGCAAAAGACTGCTTTACCATGATACAAAAGACAACCAGAACATTTACTTGATCCAATACCTTGAGCCATCTATCCACTAACCCCTGAGTAAAGCATGTGTTGGTTGATGCAGTGAAAATACCTTAGGCCAAGGATCCTGCAGACAGCCATTCCCCAAGTCAAACCTCCTATTTCAAGAGAAGGAGCAGAAGGATGCTTGAATTCTCTGATCTTTGGTCAGGATGGAGCAGATCTACCTCTATGGGCCATCTTAATGTCCAAAACACCGGGTAACCAACCTTAGGTCTGGGTTTGTAGCCAAACTTGTTGTTAACAACTTTGAGCAAGCAAAATAATCTGAAACTCTCTGACCTTCTGATAAGGTGGCATAGGCTCACATATTTGGGTCTCCACAAGGTCCTGGGCCCTAAGGTGGGAGTGAGCAGGTCATGGAGTTGGGGAAATGCTCAAAGTTCTGGAAGAGACCAGATAGGCAGAATTTCACCAAAGGAGTTGAGTCAAGATAGACTATATTTATTAGTCAATAGCCAATCCAAAGCAAACAGTGTGTCAACTTTAAAAAAACATTAGAACTCAAAGTCCCAGGTCATTAACATCCGAGGTACTTCAAGTTCAGTAAATGATCCCAGAGGATGACAGTGTATGTCAATGAAGCAAGAGGTCACAGTACCAAAGTTAATGTGGGGCGTTAAAGGGACATGCTGGAGTCAGGCTTGGGAAATACTAGATGTATGGAGGAAAGTAGCCTAGAAGTTTTGTTGTTCTTTAACAG